ACAGGCATGCGCTACCACGCCTGGCTGATTTTTTGATTTACTGTAGAGATGAGGTCGCGCCGCCCAGGTGGGTCTCGAACCCGTGGGCTCAGGCAATCCACTCACCTCAGCCTCCCAAAGGCGCGGGATTACAAAATTTTTAATAAATGGTTTTCAATTCTGTAATAGTGACTAAAAGTATCGATATAGTATAGCTGTTACACTGGCACTTCTATTTGAAGAAACATTTGAAGAAATATGTCAAAAGAAAACAGTGAATTCTGAAAGCAAATAAGAATACAGGAACAAAGAAAAACTTTTGTCTTTCCCCACTAGAACTGTGTTCAAGAGTTCCAGTTCAAGCACTGTAGAAATTTAGATTAGTGTTACACTTCTGTTGTGGCCTTTTGGTCAGAGAGGATCCCACACAATTATCCCCATCATCCCCATCTCTACCCTTTTATTTCATAAAGACTAGAAATTTGGAGAACCCAATTTCACTTGGAAAATAAGAAAGTTGCACTGGATGACCTCTAAAATCCTTAACAGTAATTAACTCTAGGATTTATATACTGAAACACATAATAAATTATGTTGAGCTTTGGATTGTGTTGAATTTCTATAAAATTATAGGTATTCAGCTTTTCCAATAATGTGTGACAAGCATTCATCATTAGATGTGTCCTTTAACATAAGTTAACTCAGGTTCAGTACCTGGTGTGCCGAACACAGAGGATATACCTTCCATAATGGCCTTGTGGATGTTGGGATGAGAAAAGACAAACGCAAGTGTCCAAAATGCAACCTTAAAAAAAAATCAAAAACACAAACTTCATTGAAGATGAACAAAAGCATATTTAGTATCAACAACAAACATTTAAAAGAAAAAAGGACACTTTAAATTAACCTTAAAAGTATATTAGTAAAAAATATCTTTGAAAACAAATAGATTTTATGAGCAATAGGAATGTTTATATAACTCCAAGAAACCAGATTTATAATTTTATTCTGTCAGTATAGTTTAACTATATTATTTAAATAGATTATACTTCTATTTTCACTAAGAAGTAAGAAAAATGGGATTTCTTTACTAACAAGTAAAATAAAATGTTATATAGGCATGCATTAAATAATTAGAAGCAACAAATTATGACAGTACATTAATTCAAAACAAAACATTTTTTAAGATTTAATTTTTTTAAAAATACTAATGAATTAGCAAATTTTATATTCTGCAAATGAAACATGATAGTTTTAAATAAGTCCAGAAAACTATACCTAAAATCCCATAAACTAAATTATGAGACTAGTCAACATCAAAATTAGGGTCCTTTCACACCTGAATGCTATTGAACATAGTATACTTTTAAGTTTACTCTCTTGACCAACCAAAACTATTTCAAATATTTCCTCATTAGTATTATAAGATAAAATTATATTGCTATACATCTTAAAAATTAACTTCTTACTCAAGTAGGTGATTTTGCATCTTCTCAGTTTATAAAAACAAAGGAAACCTATATAAAATCATCAAAAGAAGCTTGGTTTTGCTTTCATTTTGTTCTATAAACATTTATTATAAAAGAAGTTTCACCCATGAAAATCAGTCCTGAAATAACTCAGGCAATACTTTGTGTAAGTTTTTGTCTCATTTGTGAGGTAACATTATATACCTTTAAATAATCCCAATACTCCCCTCTGTGGTCAAAAGAGGAATAGCAATTGTTTGAAAGAATGCTCAAATAAGCCAAGTTCAATACTACTAATTGTTTTCCCCTTTGTGACATTAAATTGAAAGTGCAAGGATAAATATGGAACTGTTTACATAAACAAGCTGAACAGGGAAAAAAGACCCTTCCAATCCAGAGACCCTCTTTCCGGGTCATTATCCAGATTAGGAAAGATTTACCTTAGAGATTATGTAATTCATTTTTACAGATGAAGGGACAGATGCTCAATAGAGAGTTCTTTTGTCCTGTGTTCTCACTCAGGCCCTTTTTTACTACTATATGCAGATGAAAATTCTGAATTGTTGGATTTAATTAATAACCACTTCATACTCAATTTATCTTATTTGACGAGTATGAGTTCATGTTGGGGAAAAAAATTAGTGATAGTACCTAGTTTTTCAGTTACACTAATTATAGTTTAGAGATTCACTAAAATTGGATAATATTTATTTTTATGATAAACACAAAAAATTCAGTTAAGTTAAAAATAGCTGTACATGGTATTACCATTTTTAATGCATCTTTTTTCTGAACAGATTTGTTTTTTAAAAATCTGTTATTTTCTACTTTAAACAAATCAAAGTACTTTTTAAAAATTAAAAAGAAAAGAAATGTAAAGGAAAATAAAGTGCTAACAAAAAAAGTACACGAATTACTAAGTCAATAAGCAAGAATATGGAACCTTGAGGTCTTTGTGCACCCACATTTGAGAAAGGAGCTAAAAACTTCTCCCAGCAGTACCAATTAGTATTTTGCCAAAATATTTAATTCCATGGTCAGAGTTGGGCAAAAAGAAGGGCCATTTGGCTCACTGAAATGTAGAAGCAGCTATCACAATAACTTTCCATTGTTTTGGAGAGGTAAGAACAAAGGTGAGAAGGAACAAGGAGGAAAGACAAGATGAACTGAGCATGTTCTTCAGCATCATTTATTTAATCATTCAAAAACAGGTTTAACGAATATTGATGGAGTCTCTACAACATGCCAGCGAGTTTTCTGCCAATCATGGTCAATAGATATTTCTAAGACAATTCTTGCCCAAAGAACTTACATGTCAGTTGGGGATAAAAATATACAAAGGAGAAAAATGAGCTAAACGTACAAAACAGTGAAAGTGCCTACACATGTGAATGACAATAAATGCTGTGGAAGTTGAGAGTGAGATGGGGTGATGATCATTATTTAAGGTATTTAGAAAAACACAAGAGAAGAAACAGATTTTTAAAAAAAGATAAGTCAGCTTTGTGATTGGTTTAGAGAAATGTTCAAAAAAATACATTTGGCAGTTAGAAATTTCTTGGAACTTGGAAATGGTCTTCCCATAGAAATAATTTCATATAGTTAATATCTTTGGCCAGTACACCAAAGTTCACCTAGGCCATAATGGAACCTCTCAGTTGACCTGGTCCCAAGTCCATCTGAAGCTTGAGCTCTGAGTCCCATGGGCCTTGAAGCAGAGTACAGAGTAGGAGAGAAGAGATGAGGATATGAGCTGAGCTCCAGGAAAGGACAGGTCCCACAATCTATACTCCTGGCAAGGCTTTGGTGGCTCTCCCAGCAGTGAAGGAGACCACAAAAGTCAGGGCAGCAGTGGACATTCCTATCCTGGGAATTTGAGCAGTCACGTACATGGAAGCCAGGGTCGTCTCTATTCCTTATTATTATTTTTTTGAAAGTAATGATTTCTTAAAACTAAGAAAATAATTTTTGTGAGAGAAGAAAACTAACATTTATTGAACATCTATGTTGACTGAGGTACTGTTAGACACTTTCCATTTCTTACTAAAGTAATCCTCACAACTATTCTTTGAAGTAGGTAGCATTAATCCCATTTTACAGATAAGGGCACTGAGGCTTGTAGAGGTTAAACAATTGGCCCACTGTCACCAAGTCCTGGGAACTGGCATTGGATTTGACTCTAAAGCCTTTCCAGGGCCTCTGCCCGCACACCAGGTTGTCTCTTGGAGGTGCCAACAAGAGCCAGTGAGATGGAACTTTCTCTAATCATCCTTTCTGAAAAATGAATAGTTTAAATCTTTTTAGGCCAGTGCCAGGAACAAATTCCAAAGAACTGCCTTCCCCCATGTCAAATCAATGGGGCTTTGTGTGGCTTTCTTCTGGGGAATGTTTCTAATGAGATCTTGAAAATTAATCCTTTGACAGGAATGGGTGTTTTGTACCTGCTTTAGGAGTTGTTTTGAAGTTTGATTTTCAATTTTGCTATAGCTTCATCAGTTTTCAAGAAAATTGGTTAAGGAAAAATCAGAGAATGATATTAGAGGTACATAAAAAAGGGCCAAGGATTAGACTATTTTTACTTAAACATCCCAGATAGAATATATATTCCACTAGATGACATACATTTGAGCAGAGGGGTCAAATTTTCTATCTCTGCTCTTTACTCGATTAAGTTTTACAATCAGTTAAAAAAAACTAGAATACCAGTGCTTCGAAAGTCTTTAGCAACCAGGCCTTTATAAGAGAAAGGATAAATAAAAAATACCTAAAACATCTTCCTTATTTCTATTTGTTAGAAGGAAAAAAGGAAAGAAAAATGACCACTTATCAGTAGAAATGGATTAAATGCTCCTGATTAGGAAAAAAAACAACAACAACAACTAAAAATGTTATCCTTTAATTTCAGATAATATAAGTAGCAGTTTAGGCTAATGAGAGAAACTCTTGACCCAGGAAACTGGTGTGCATCGAACACGAAGTGGCAGGCAAATCTCAAGACTCTACTTGAGTTCATGACAGCTTTAAAAAGAAACAGCTTTTTAAAAATCTCTGTTCTCTTTAGAGGTATTGTAAATTCCAATTTTACCAGTGCCATTCACAGGGAAGCTCACAGGACCAAAATGCCAAGTGAAGTAAGCAGGAATGGTGCACTGAAGGAGAATGGGTTACAGAGAGAGATGGAGCTATTAGTCACTGGTACCAGCAGGGCTCATCTGATTGCATCCTCATAACAACTTCATAGAGAAATGAGTTACCGTTTATTGCATGCCCAAGTCCTAACCCCATACTAGGAGTTTTATGTGCATTATCACTTTTCACCAATAATAAATTGGAGGCACAAAAAGTTTAAGTTACTGCCATGAGATTCGATAGCTATGGCTGCGGATGTTTGGATTCAAGCTCATTTCTACCTGAAACAGTCCATTTATCTACTCTCTCTCCATTAAAAGCTTGGGGCCAATCCTCATTCATTTTGTCATCACCAATACTCAGCACATTGCCAGACACACAGAAAGTGCTCCATAAACACGTGTTGTCACAACTGGCCCTAAAGAGCAAGCTTTTCTTTTGCCCTTTCAGGGAGCAGCATTCACTTTGGACCTCTGCTTTGCCTTCTTTGTAACCTAATCAGACTTCATTAGGCAGTTTTGTTTGTTAGCTCACAATGATATCCTCTATAGTTTTTTTCTTCCCCATAATAAGTGAAAGAATAAAATAAATATGGAAGGAAGGGAGAGAGGGAGGAGGGAGGAAAGAAAAATGAAGAAAAACAAAAAACAGCATTGTAACCTATACTTTACTAAGATACTTACCGGAACAACATTAGACAGAGAAGCCCAAAGCAGTAAGAGCTGATAATTGGGAGAATATTGTTCATTTGTTTCCATCTGTAGAACATTCAGCACAGCCTGTACTAATGTCTGTTTAAAAGAAGTAAATATTGTCAATCCATGGTTAGGTGACAAAGATTGATGTTAATAAACAAGAGTTCAAAAATTTTCTTTAATACAAAAGATATTATTCCTGCAATATCTGGGTTTCGCAGTTTGAGGCATGCTAAGGCATGTACATACTTACTGTAGTGTAGTAATTAGGAGTAGGGTTTCTGGAGTTCAGCTGCCTTACTGCCTTGGTTAAAATTCTGGCTCAGTGACTCAAGAACTGGATGGCCCACAGCAATCTCTCTGTCCTTTAGTTTACTCATCTATAAAATGGTTGTAATACACACATACTTCATAGGAGTGTTGTGTGAATTAAATAAGTTGGTTCCTACAAAGTGCTTAAAACCAAACCTCTCAGAGGGAAAACTTCACTATAGATCTCTGTTTTGCCAAAGTGAATTAGCAAATTAAGTTTCCTCCCTCACCTGTGCCCACTCCTAAAAATGCAAGCAACACAGATCTCTGGAGTATTTAGGAGAAAACCCTACCCCAATCCACTGTGCAGATTCTCAGTTATGTACCATGGGAGAGAGAATTGCCAAGTCAGTATATTATAAATATTGCAATTGTCTAAAACCACGAATGCAGAGAATTGACATTTGACTAGAATTCTGGCAACTCAGAGCAGGGCTCCATTCAAGGTCACCTACTATGACTAGTTGCTCCCAGATCACCACGCAAATTCCTTCAAGACATTTTCTTCTTAAGGAGGTTTCCCCAGGTTTGCCTTTGCCAATGATTGCTCGCCATCATGGGGGAAAAATTTAGACATTATCACATTTTTATTAGGTTACTTGTATACTTTTAATCTTAGGTAACTCAGGTCTGGGTGACAGAAATAATGGGAGCTAATATCTATTCACTGCTTGCTATGAGTCAAGTACTATTTTAAATGATTTACACATACTTAACCCATCCCAATCTCCACTACAAGTCCAAGAAGCAGACACTATTATCTAATTATCTTTATCACTGTTAATATAAGGAAATTGAAGCAAAATAAAGTTGGAGAATTTTGCAAGAGGCATATAGATTGAAGGTGGATGAGCTAGGATCCAAACCATGTGAACCTGGCTCTGGCTCCAGACCTCACACTCTATGCCACTATGTTATGCTGCCCCTCATAATTCTCCTGTATTAAGGATTAAGAGAACTGCGTTGCACCATTACGTAGTATTATCAGATCCTTTGACACAGGAAATAACCATTAAATCAGTAACATATAAAACACAAGATAGGACACTCAGCAAGATGGCAACGGGACAAGCTGAACTGTGACGATCTCCACAAAAGGTGACTCCTGAAGGCAGTTCCACGCACCCCGCAGCTGCCGTCTACACGGGGGTGGCTGCTATAGCCAGTCCCATGCAGTAAACAGCCTCCGTTGCACTGCGGCCTCCACAAGGGACTACTGCTGATTGCTACAAGGTGCTGAACAGCTGCTGACGCCGAGGCTCTGGGCTCTGACCCAGGGAATTCCCAGCTCCCTCCGCCACCCCAAGCTGCCCGGGGCACACCAAATGCGGCACCCAGCCATATCGCTGGTTGCCAGTTCCTGATGCCGGACACACATCATCGCCCGTTATAGTGGATCATCTACAAAGGAGTGGAGAGAAAGGATGTGGAGTGGAGAGAAAGGATGAGTTGAGAGAAAGGATGGGCGAAAGAGGAGTCACCCACCACAGCCACTTTCCAGGCAGAGATTCGCATTGCCCCGCCCATCTCCAAGCAGCCTCCTCCTTGTTTCCAAAGTAATCCCACCAAAACAGGAGACAGAAGCTCCTCCCCTATGCTGAATCAGACACAAACAACTCAGTCCTCAGACAGAAGGCAGCAAGCCAAGGGAACTGACCCAATCTATGAATAAATCGATCTTCCTATAATGAGAGCAAAGGGGAGGGGCTAGAGATCAGAGCTGAAGAGAATTTAGACACTCAGGAAAGACTCCAGAGCTAGTCTGGTTTCTTATTTTGATTTTTGATTTTATTGTTCCGACTGTTTGTTTTTGTTCACTTTTGTTTGCTTTTTGATTTAGACTATCTGTTTGTGTTAGGGAAATACACATCAAAAGGCATGGTTTTATTGGACTATCTTTGTGTGATTACCAGTATACTTTAGGGAATTTTGTTTGTTTGTTTGTTGTTTACTCTTTTCTGTTCTTGTGTCACCTTTCATTCATTAGTTGGTATGTATGTCTGTTTTCCCTCTTACTCTCCTCTCTCTCCAACTTCTTCTTGACTCCCCCCTTCTTCCATTATTTTCCTTTTTCTAACCTCCTTTTGGGAGCAAACCTAAACCCCACTGCATGGACAGATTGTAAGGCAGTGGGAAGTGGGTTCCAGTGTGCCCATACACCTGTTGGTCGATGCTGGGATCTGCAGATAGATTCTGAATCACAGCTTCCCCCTCAATTAAACCTCAAAACTGCAAAAAGTACAGCACCAACCCACAGTCCAGCCTCAAAAGTGAACAAAGCCAGAGGACCCTCATAAGGAAGAACAGGAGATTGAACAAAATAAAGTATAAGCAACCCCACCTTCCCTGAAAAACACAGAATTAAAGAAGAGGAGGGAAAGGGGGAGAGAAAAATCTACACAAATGAAGAAAAATCAAAAGAAGGCTATGGGTCTCTCACAGACCCCTGGGAGGTCAGACACTGAAAAAACTGACTTTGGAATGCAAACAATGAAGAGCCCCAGAATGACTGGTCTCAAACTACAAACCCAGATATCAAGATATTAATGGAGAGATTAAAAAGAATTGAGGAGAGACAAGAGGAAACTAGGAAGGAGTTGATAACTGAGATAACACTGGTAAAGAATACTGTGAATGAAATAAATAACAAACTGATAAGCATGGAAAGCAGAATAGGCCAAGCAGAAGAAAGAATCTCAGAGCTTGAGGATCAAAATATAGAACTAACCCAAACTGTCAAAAACATAGAAAAGAAGTTTAAAAAGACAGAACAAAACCTTCAAGAGATGAGCGATTACTTAAAGAGACTGAACCTAAGAGTAATTGGACTTTCTGAGGCAGAAAGAGAGACAGAGACTACCCTGGAACAAACATTCCATGGAATTATTAAACAAAACTTCCCTCATCTCATCAGTGATGCGAAAATTCCAACACAAGAGATTCAGAGAACCCCTACAAGACAACAAATGATAAGACCAACTCTCTCACACATAATAATTTTCCTAAACAAAGTAGGCATAAAAGAAAAAATCCGAAAGGCAGCAAGAGAAAAAGGTCAGATTACCTACCATGGAAGATCAATTAGAATAGCAGCAGATTTATCTACCGAAGTCCTTCAGGCTAGAAGAGCTTGGAACCCTATCTTCAAAGTTCTAAAAGATAAAAAATTTCAACCAAGAATAACCTACCCAGCCAAGCTAAGCTTCAGCAGTGAGGGAGAATTAAAATCTTTCCCAGATATCCAATCCCTAAGAACTTACACTGCCACCAGACCACCTCTACAAGAAACACTTTAAAAAGTATTAAACACAGAAGAAAAGGAAAAAAGAACAACAACGTTCTTCACAAGAGAACAGGAAAAAGATTAAAAACACACAAAAACCAACCCCCAAACCAAAAGAAAGACAATAAGCAAACAGGAACAACAACAACAACTCTATAAGAACCTTATGATAAGGATCAATTCTTACATTTCAATAATTAGCCTGAATGTGAATGGACTAAATGCACCACTAAAAAGACACAGAATGACAAAATGGATAAAATATCACCAGGCAACAATATATTGCCTTCAAGAGACTCATCTCACTAGAAAGGACACTCACAGACTCAAAGTAAGAGGATGGGAAAAAAATTTTCAGGCAAACGGAACACAAAAGAAAGGAGGAGTCATGATCTTAATCTCAGACAAAATATCCTTTAAGTTATCAAAAATTTAAAAAGATACAGAAGGCCACTACATAATGATC